TGTTCATCGGCAAGGGCGGTTCTGACGAGAAAGAGTGGAGTGCCTGGAAGCTAAAGGAGGCTTGCGAGATACTGTCAGCAGCAGAGAGCCGGAAGGTTCGGAAGGAGAAGCCCGAGCTCATCGTGCCCACGCGCTGGGTGCGGACCAACAAGAACGACGGCCTCATCGGCAAGGGCTTCCTGGCCAAGTCACGATTGGTGGTGCAAGGCTTTAAGGACAAGTCTCTTGGGCACTACCGGAGGGACGCCCCGACAGCTAGCGCCATTGCCGAGTCCGTCTGCCTCGCCGTTTGCTCTTTCCACAGGTTTGTCCTCATTGCCAAGGACATCAAGAATGCCTACTTTTCAGGGAAGAGCGTGGGCAGAGAGATCTACCTGGAACCTCCCAAGGGAGGACTGCCGGGGCTCGAGCCGGGAAGACTCCTGAAGGCCAAGAAGGCCATCTACGGTTTCGCAGAAGCAGCGCGGCTCTTTTGGCTGGCGCTGAAGGAGCACTTGGAAAGCGACGGCTGGCGCGAGAGCCGGTTGGAGCCTGCTTTGTTTTACCTGCGTGTCCAAGGTGTGCTGCGCGGGATCCTGGTGACTCACGTGGACGACATCGAGGGCGGCATCCACCACAGCATCATGGACAAGGCTTTTGCAAAATCCATGTTAGCCCTGGAGTTCGCTACAAACCACGTCCGGGAGTTTATCTTTCGAGGCCGGGAGATAAAGCAGCACGAGAATGGCAACATCGACGTGGCCATGCGAAACTATGCCATGAGCATGCGCGTGGTGAAGATCGACCAGGAGAGACGGAAACAGCTCAAGGAAGAGCTGACCGAGGAGGAGATGAACATCTTCCAGAGCAGCGCTGGAGAGCTGGGCTGGCTCGCGAGGCAACTGCGTTGCGACCTCGCCTACGAGAACGGGGTGGCCCAGCGCAGCAAGACCGACACGTGCATAGCAGATTTGGTTTTGCTGAAGCAGTTTGTGGGCATGGCAAGACGGGGCGCTGACTTCAAGCAGCGCTACTGGTCCGATGTGGACCTCGCCAACGGAGTCATCCTGCACCTCGCCGACAGCGGCCACGCCAACGGCACCCCGGACCACAAGGAAGAGATGAAGTACAAGTCCGTGGGCGGGTACTTTATCCTGGTGGCCAACAAGGAGATCCTCGAAGAGGGCGGCGAAGCAAGGGCCAACATCCTCGCCTACCACAGCAGCCTGACAAAGCGAGTTTGCCGAAGCACCTTGGCGGCTGAAGCAAGCCACCTGGCAGAAGCAGTGGAGGCCGGGGACTGGATAATAGTCCTCTTGGAAGAGGCCCTCAGTGGAGAGCTGGATCTGTCCAGCTGGCCCGACATCGTGGAGAAGAGGCGCCGTGCCTACATCACGGACGCCCGCAGTGTCTACGACTACCTCGAGAAGGACGCCACGAGCACTTCAAGTGATAAGCGGATGGCGATAGAAGGAGCCCTGCTCCGAGAGACTGTGCGACGCCCCAACGCGTCCACTCACTGGATAGATGGTGCACAAAACATCGCCAACGTCCTCACCAAGCACGGTGCGGAGAAAGACACCTTGCGGGAGTTCCTGCGAAGCGGCCTGATGAGCTTCGAGCAGAGTGCCGAGAACAAGGCACTCAAGGAGCGGAAAAGACTAGAGCGGCAACAACGGAAGGTCAAGAACGATGCCGGCGGCCAACGGAAAGCAGCTTTGGCTCGAGCCCGGCAGGAAGCAGCAGTTCGGGAAGCTGAGAAGGAATGCAGCAGTGGCGACGGTCAACAGGCAAAGAAAGAACAAGGAGTGTGAGATTCGACCGAGTCAACATGTTGCCTGTGCCCGTCAGCCGGCCCGAGACAAGACCGTGTGCTTCAAGCCCGCCAGTCTTTAGGACTCAGGTCCGCTTGCATGCAGTACAGAAGCATGAGCACAACGAATCCTAAAGGGATCACGACATACACTTTTCACTTTGCTTTCTTGCGGCTAGTAAAACAGAGTGCCTGCTGCCAGTTGCGATTCTTGCAATCGCAATATCTATATGTATGTACATGTATATATATATATATATATATGGTGGCCCCCCTCCCGTTGACAGACCATGCCCTTTCAA